TTTTTTTTTTTTTTTTTTTTTGTTTAATTTACCCTTAGACACTTTAGATTGGAGTTCATTCCAATAACTTGTGGTCATGTAGCCTTCCTGAGCCATAAAATTGGAAGGTGTTCAGTCACATGAGATGTTGAAATGCATGATTTCTACTTTGGCCATACCAGATATATGAGGGACTAGGGTAAGCAGAAATATGAGAGCATGTTAAGTCCTGTTATGTGTATCTCTTTCCCCATAGTACATAACAAGAGTTTGCACATAATTTTACCTACATCAGAGTAACTGTCCTTTCTATTTCAGGTTATCTGAACTGCATAACTAGAGGATAGGAATACTTCTTTCCCTGCAACAAATCAGTAGAATAAGGTTGTAAAAGGGCTTTGTCACAATGCATCAAACACTGAAGAAGCTTTTTGCAATTAATGATCTAGATTATTTTGGGACAATTTTATCACTAATACTGTTCAGCTGAACTGTTTATCTGGGTGTAAAATAAGAAGTACTCTTTGCAAAATTCCATAAGATCTATCTGCTTTAAAAAAAAAAAAAAAAAAAAAAAAAGCGACAGATAAATTAAAGTTCATGCCTAGTCCCAGTCTTGGGACTGAGACAGAGTATGGTCATAAAAACTGAATGCACATTAACTTTTTTTTCCCCTACTTTCCTGTTCATCTGGAAAAAAAAAATAAAAATAAAAATAAAAAATTAGAATGCTGAAGACTGTTATGGGATAATATTTTCTTTCACCAAAGGCATTCCACAGCCTTAGTCAGCTTTGGGGAGATTTCTGTCTTTCTCTCAGTGGACTGTATATTTTTGTTCGCTGAGTCTCAAATGCCATGAACGAAGGCTGCTAAGGAAAACACAGAAGCTATGACCCTATAGAAAATTTAGAGGTCACTACCAAACAAATCAAGCATATCTGATGTAGATATCATTACAGCTTACAAAATATTGATGTTTTCTTTGATTTATCTGAATTCATGAAGTGATTAAACAGTAGTGTTAAAACACCTACAGTTTGCCAGTAAGCTAACAGTACCACTAAGGGACATGAATAACAGAAACACGTCCTCAGAAAATTTAGTACCAGCAACAATTTGATTTCTTCTCTGCCAACACTATGCTGTGTTAAAAAAGAGAATATTCATGGACTGTAGGCAATGCTTGCATAGCTATTTTTCTGAGGAAGGAATTTTCTCTGTTTCTATGTTTAGAAATCCAAACAGAAAAGGCAATATACTGAAGTAACTCAGAGCTATCTACGAATAAATTGGCAATGTTGTAAAAATGGTTTGGATGTTTTGTTGACCTAAATCAGTTCAGACCTTTGCTCACCCTCACCCAAATGATACCCACAGAATGTGGATTTTCAATTTTTTTTTTTTTTAATGTCCAGATTAACTCACAAGAAGTCTTTTTCCTCACATTTTTCAGAGAATAAAATACAAACCAGGCTGCTATATTAGACATTTTTAAAGATGATTCTGCAGCTGCCAGCTTGAGCACAGTGAGGAAGAAACAGAACAGAGAATGAAGAAATTAATTTAATCCTAGAGGGTAGGGAGTATTTTAGCTTTTGGTTTTGTTTCTCATCATTCTACACCTTTTTAATTGGCAATAAATTAAATTACCCTTTCCTAAGTACAGGGTTTTTTTTGTCTGTGATGGCAATTGGTGATTATTTTATTTCGACTATTTTCCTTTCTTTCTTTTTTTCCTTTTTTTTTTTTTTTTTCCTTTTTTTTCCATTTTTTTTTTTTTCCGTACCCTGCTGAGGAGTAGCGAGTAGTGAGTTGAGAGAGTAGTTGGGCTGGTGTCCAGCAGTTATCCAAGGTGAAACAGCAAAGATACTGGACAAAATGTGCAAATTGCTTCAGTAGTAATCTAAGAAATAATAACAATAATATGTGTTCATGTGTGTTCTTATATCTGTGTGCATGTAAGAATGTGGAGTCCAAAAAAGAAATCTGAATTAGAGAGAATCACTCCTTATCTAGGCCAGTGCCTGAACAGAGTTCCACAGATGGCCAAAACTCATGAAGAATGAGGTATAACTTTGAAAAAGCTGTTGAAGTGAGAATGCTTTTCTGAATTATCCTTGCTGTGTTTGGGGTCTATGTAGTCCTGGGTCCTTGAAAGATTTCCTGTTAAAGGTCTCATAACATGACACCAGAATGTTTTGCATGATGTGTGTACACATCCCACAAAGGATTGCTGTAGTCCAAGAGGTCTTCTATTAAATGAGATAGGTATAACTTTATTTTTATGTAAAATATTACTCTCCAATATGCCCTTGTTCCTGCTTGGCTCAGTTGACATGAATTAAAACAGCTTCTGACAATCAGAAGAATGTATCTGTGTCTATTTGAAAATGTTAATTAGTTGATAACTTCTTTGTGACCTTCATGTTGAACAATAATCTCTATCTTGGACAAAGCAAATGAGCACATTATATTCTTAACACAGTGCATTTCAAGACTCCTCTATCAATGCAGAATCCAAGTGACAGACAGGGCTTTAAATATCATTCAGAATAAGGAAATTTCATTTCCAAAAGGAATTCTGTAGCTTCAAAGTGCATTTTCACTTTCATTCTTTGATTTTTTAATTCTTGGCTTTTTTGATAGAAATATGATTTCAGATAAATTCCAATCTTTGATTACAAGGAAAAAATATATAGTGTTTGGTTTAGACTTTGATCTTCCAATATAAAGTTTGCAAAAAGTCATTTCACATGAAAAAACCTGAAAATGCTGAAAAAAAATATTTTTGACATTATCAGATGGTTCTGATTTTTACACAGAACTTTTTTTTTTTTTTTTTTTCCTCCCCTAGCTATGTTCAAAAGAAAGCTCCACTCAAAGCAGAAAGACTGTTTCATTTTCAGAAATAGAAGGCCAGCTGGAGTAAGTGGAGAGGCAGGAAAGACTTTGTTTCCCTAAAGTAGAAGTTCTTGTGCATGCTTCCTGTTTTCAAGTACAATGACAGCCTGTTCTTCATCAAGTTTATTCATGGAGATAAGATTTTAGAGGAGGAGGACAACTTTCACAAACTGAAAAGATTTGGGAAAGGCCTGGAAAATCTCTGCAGTCAAAAGTAAGAATTTTGTTTCACTAAAATCTTACAGAAGATTAGTGGATAGATAGCTTGCTCAGACAGCATGAATCCAAGTACTGTTTTCACCTGGACATTCAATAGAAATCCTGCTACTGTAAGACATGAGTAAAATTTTTATTTTGAGTGAGCTACAGAAATACTGAAATATAGTAAACAACTTTCAGTTTTGAGAGCAGGTTATTCTATTTGAATAGATAGAATCTCTTTGTAGGCAATGTACTGAAAAAAAATTATGAACTACAAGCAGTCATATAGCAATGTCTAGGACTTAAAAAAATATGGATCCATAAAATTTATCACCAAGATCTCGTTAGATCATCAGTTGGAGTGGATCACATCAAATTCCTTTAGGAATAAACACAGCTGAGACCTAACCTTTATGTTTGGCTGGAAAACAAACACTACCTAGAAAGCTGAAGGAACAGGGAATTGCAAAGTGAACTTTGCTCTTTTCTACATGACCCCAGTTCAGGAGAGATTCTGCTAGACTTCTTTTTCTTTGATACAGAAAGGGCCAAAAGGTTAGTAGCATGAAAGATTTGTTAAAGCAAGAGGAACAAAAGAGTATAAGCAGAAAAAGAGGAAGTGTCAACAGGAAAAAATATAAAAGATCCAAAGTTAGAAGAGTAATAAATGAGCATAACTGAGAAAAACAAACAAAACTAACTAGAAGAAATAAGGAAACTGTGGAACTGTACCTAAAGGAACACAGCAACAATAACATTACATAGAAAATTAAGAAAGAACTTAAAATGTGGT